AGAGACTGTGACCCGGAGTCGCCTGGTTGTGTTGTTGTTTTTCTCTGCTGAAATGAAAGAACTTTGCACTGTCTTCTTACACAAGTGGGTTTCAGCACATTTCTGTTTATTTTTAACTGGCGGGCGGTGAAGGTTAAGTCTTTAGAATCTGAAGTAAGTCCCTGACCATCTAGGAGCGCATTTAGGATTTTTTGTCCTGCTTTCCTTACAGAATGCCCCTTGGAGACAGGCTCGCTTCCTCTACCACAGTTTTTATGTATTTCTGTATATTTTGATCATTCCTGTATGTAGGTTGGATACACACAAAAGATTGTCAAGTTTAGACCGTGAGAGAGTTTTATCACTTATTAACTCCAAACAGCAAGGCGTCTCTTACTTATTATAAAAGTAATATCTTTTCCTTCCTTAGACTTAGTGTCTAATATAGGATGGCAATGTTTTAAAAATATCATTAAATGAAATGCTACTGTATAAACCACTGACGTCTTACGCACCAGGCTAGCTGGCCAATACTGAGTGTTGGGAAAGAAGATAAGGGCATAAAGAACGGTGTATGAACTAATGATGCTGGCTGGAGATAGGATCGAGGGGCATGGAGGCTTGTGTAGGTAGGTGCCGTTCATGATCCGGTTCACAGATGTGTATATTCAGCTATATATGAGGAGAATTATTATTTATAGTGTTAAAGAAAGAAAACAGGTTTGGGGTAAATTCACTTAAGATGAAGGGCACACCTGGAGACTCAGACGAGTATATGGATTAGAGCAAGTTGCCCAGTTGTGTGTGAACGTGGTGGACCTGCTTGACTGTACCCCAGGCCCTTCCCCTGGTACTTCACCAGCCCAGCATGGGAAGAAATCAGCTGGCTGACTGTGCCTGGCACAGGGCTGCATCTGTGGGAAGCAAAATAAGGCCCACAGATCCATGCATATGCTACTTACGTAGAAAAGGGGGTTTACGGTTGCAGATGAAATTAGGGTTGCTGAGTGAAGAGGATCAGTAGATGGAAGAGCTGTTGGCACTCTCACTCTCATCACAGCATTGCTTGTGGTAACACAAGGCAAGAAATCCGCTGAGCTGTCCATCGGTGCGTGAATGAAGAAAACGGGGCGTGTGTGCACGGTGGAGTACTATTCATCCATAAAAAAGAATGGCTTTTTACGGAGAAGCAACATGGATGCAACTGAAGGACATTATGCCGCGTGAAAGGAGCCAAGCCCAGAAGGCCAAGCCCTGCTTGTGTGGAATAGATGCTATGAACGGTGAGGGAGGAAGAAGTAGAAAGCTAGATAAAAGGTGCCGAAGTGCAGTTATTCAGGAGGAATACATTCGACTTGTCTAGTCAGTAGGGTGATTACAACAATTTATTTTATTTTTTGATGCCTGGAATTGGACACACGCCCTCGTGCTTACTCGGCAGGTGCTGTGTTGCTGAGTTATATCCCGGGCCCAATCTGTTTGACGTGGCATAAAGCACCAACAGTCTAAATGTTCCCAGTTAAAGGAGATGGAAGTGGTAGTTGTCCTGATTTGATCATTATGCACCGTTTACATGGATCAAATCATCACACTGTATCCCATAAACATACGTAATTAGGGTATGCCAATTAAAACGCTTTTGTGATGCTGAGTACTGGACCCAGGACCCAGGACCTTGAGCCTGTAAGCCAAGTTCTTTACTAGTAAAATATATTCCAGCCATAAATTTTTTAAAGTGTCAACTGAGCCTTCTTTTTTAAAAAATTATTTTCTGTTCAGGACATTTTTGCCTGGGTATAGAATCCAATAATAAAAACAGCAGTACTAGTAGTCAGTGTTCACTGAGCACTTCCTATGAGTTTGCCACTATCCTATGCTCTTGGTAAGCTTCTTATTTAATACTCATGCTAAGCCTAGGAGAGAAACACTACCATCATACCGTTTTGTACAGGAAAAGAGAAGTTGGAAGTATTGGAACAACTTGACCTATGATAACTGTGGGCACAGAGCTAATGCAACAGCTATCATTCCCCTTTCTTCATAAGATTTGACCTTTGGTTCAATTCCTAGCTTAGTTACCCTGGTAACCTGATAAGAGCCAAATGTCAACTGTTTCTAGGCAATATTACCTGTGATTAAAGTAATGGATTGGTTACAGGGACCTGGGAACGTCTGTGAGGAGCTGAACATAAATTATACATAAAATTATACATACCTGGAAGGCCCGCATAGGCTGGGCTTCTCTGAGAGCAACAGCCCTGGATGGGAACTTGCATGCGTGGCCTTGGGAGGTGTGGTGAGAGATGCTGCTAGGGCGGCGGCCGCGGCGGCCAGGGCAGCTGCTGCCCCGCCTGCTCAGGGCCTCAGCTCACTGTACTTGGGCTGCGGGCCAGGCCCTGGGCTGTGCGAGCTGCTGGCTGCTCCTTGGTGCTGTGCTGCCGGCTGATACCCCGAGTTCTGGGTAGAGCAATGCTGAGCGTGGTCATCTAGGGAATCCGGATGTTCCACTTGACCTTAACGATTGGTTGGTGTTGCCCTGGTGGCTGTGTAGTTATGCAACCAGAAAAATGGAAGAAGTGGAAAAGTCAAAACCGAAACCTGTACATTGGATCTGGGGCACAAGATTCCAGTCACCTCCCACACACTCTCAGGGAGGCCCCAGGAGGGTGGGTGTCTTAGTCATTTGCACCTGGCTGGGACCAAGTACCTAATACCTACAGTGTAACCAAGGTGCGGTTTATTTTAGCTCACAGGTGGAGTTTCAGTCCACACTCAGCATAAACATGGGAACAGCAAGGCAGAGGGTGTGGGCAGAGAAAAGCGTCGGGTGAGCCGAAGCAGAGAAGCGAGGGAGGAGTTAGGAAGTGTGCCCTTCCAGATACACCCCCAGAACTGGCCTCTACTGGGCCCCACCTCCTAGCAGCAGATGTGCTGCAGAGCTCACGGTCCAAGCATCCAGCCTTTGAGCAGATGAGACTCTTGAGGGCCGCCCAGAGCCAAACCGTGACACTGGATAGCTCCATACTGTCGCAGAACACGCGTGTAGTCGGACCTAGTTTGCCCACTGCTCAAACTGTGCTTTTAGGCACCAGTTAAGGGGCAACTGTGAAGTAAAAAGACCTTTCTTCAGTGCTCTTCAGGCCACTCCACAGGCGAAGAGGCTCATCCTAAGGGAGTAAAGGGACAGAAAACAAGCCCAGCGCCTTTGTGCTTGTGCCTATGCACTTTTGCTGTTGTAGTTTCTCCTCTTTTTCTCACTTATTCTCCTCTTTAAGAAAAGTTATTTTGAACTTCTTTTAGACTTAGAGAACAGGTGGGAAGCGCTGGAGCTTCTGCGCACCTCGTCACTCACGGTCCTCAATAGTATCGTCCTGTAATCCTGTTACACGCATCACGGGGGCGGTTACGCTGGCGCAGTCCTTCTAACTAAACTACAGACCTCCTTCGCAGCTCGCTGATTTCCCCGCTAATGTTCATTTGCTGTCCGGGACCCTGTCTCGACCTTACAGTGTATTATTTCTCTTTAGTGTCCTCCAATTTGTAAAACTTCCTTGGTCTTTCCCTGTCACGACGCTTTTAAAGACTGCTGATCAGTTCTTTATCTATAGAATAGCCCCCAACTTGGGCAGCGTTTCCTAAGACGGGACTGAATTCATGGTTTTGGGAAGAACGCCTGGTCATGATGTTATAGCCTTCTCAGTGCTTCAGATCAAAGGGTCAGCCATGCTGTTGATAAACTTAGTGCTGTTGTGCATTCCTTTTTGTTTGTTTTCTCTTCTTTTTAAAATTCTTTTAATTCCCCAACATTCAGCCCATTAAGATGGGGATTCTCGGGTGGGCCACATCCGGTGCTGCGAGCACCCTGTGAAGTAGGAGGAATAAGTAAGGCAGCTGTTGGGGTGTGTCTTTTGAATAATAAGGGAACTTAAACAAGGCCAGAGCACTACCATCCTCTATTTTGGGGACAGGTTAAACCACCGAACTCTAAGAATTTAGCCCATCGAGTAACTTTCTCCACTCCGCATCTCCATCTTCGGCTCCCACGATGCCATTGATCTCAGTTTCTTTTGTCTCCTTCAACAGTTTTGGGTTACATACAGAAATATAATAGACTTTTTTCTTTTTGGGTAATAGGTCACTTATCTGAAATGTATTTCTTCTGAAGATTCTGTTTTTCCAGATTCCTCAGAATAATTGAAAATAAGTATTTCTTTGTCTTTCTTTTTGTTTTAGTCTCAGATCTTTTTAAAAATTTAAAAAATTAAATATTGCGGTCCAGGTGCAGTCCTTGTTACCCACTGGAATCCACTTGTCCTCTCTTCCTCTTCTTAGCAACCACTACTGCAGATCCAGTTATTGTTAGCGTATTTATGAATTCACAAATATTTTGTAGCATTGTTCTATAGGCTATCAAGATTTATATAAACAATTTCGTATATAATCACCTTTTCACTCAAAGTTATGTTTTTGAGATATAACTATGGTGGAGTAGCTCCAATTCATTTTTAACTGTTGTATAATATTCTATTGTTTAAAGAAAACCCACAGTTTATTATTTGTTGTTCCTGCATCTATTGGCTTGTTTGCTGTAATAAACAATGCTATGATGTATTATTTCAAAATAAGCTTATTCTCTCCAATGTATGTGAGTGTATCTATACCTTATGAGGTCCGTGGCCCGAGAAAGGACCTCAGGGTTGAGAATGTTCCTCTCATTTATTCTTTGTACTTTCTGGGTGTCTTTTTATTGAAGAGCTGAATGGATGGAAAGAAGGATGGATGGATGAGTGGATGACTGCATGCTTGAATCTTTGAAGAAAGTTGCCAGGGCCGGGGAGATGGCTCAGTAGAGTAAGTGCTTGCCTGGCAAGCGCAGGGTCCTGAGTTCAATCCCCGGTTCCGCAAAAATAAATAAATAAAATAAAATAAAGAAAGTTGCCAAACCTTGGAAATCCACCTGTGCAATTCCATGTCTATTTGAGCAAATATTACATTGTCTCTTTGTCTCCTTCTCCTTCTAGATGTTGAAATGCTTCAGGCAAATACATCGAACTCAGTCTCTAGAGATGGCTTTTCTCGGCCTACTAAGGACTCTATGATCCGCAAGTTTTTAGAAGGTGAGTTGTAGCAAAAAAAAGAGAAACCGGCATTATTTGATTCCACATGAGGTTACTCCACCCAGGGAACGAGGACCACCTACATGGCACATGATAGGACAGAAGTGCTCTGCCTCCCAGAGCACTGCTACATGTGGGCTGGAAGTTTCCGCCACCGGGGCCTGTTATTTGGCTAACCTGGTTGCCTCCAGCAAGACCTCTTTTAAAATGCATGTGACTATTTTTATTTGACCAAAATTTGTTGAGTACATACTATGTAGAAAGCACTATTACAGCTTTTGGTGTTGGGGATGTAGGCAATAACATATGGTCAGTGTCTTTAGGACATTTTATTTTCTGGTGAAGGAGGGGAAGATACATAAATTTGACTAAATTAAGGCTTGCTGCACAGTGGTAAAGAATGTGGACTGTGTTACAGATTCAGTTCCTTCTGAAGATGGCTGGAAAGTTCTTAGGCAAGTGATTCAGCTGCTCTGGGCCTCTCAGTTGTAAAGTGAGAATTAAATGAGTTGTACATTAGACCTCAGACAGGGCCAGCCACATAATATGAACAAAGGTTTATAACTGTTATTGTTATTATTGAGCGTTTCATAGATGGAAAGTGTTAAGTGGTGTGACTAATTCCTTAATGCTGTCAAATCATGGATAACTAAGAGTGGATCCACTAATTAAAAAGATATAGAAAGTAAAGTGCTGAGAGGATGGTGTCTTAGATACTTTTCTCATTTCTGAGACAAAATGTTGATACCCAAAATTAAAGGAGAAAAGATTATTTAGCTCAGTCTAAAGTTGACTAGCTTGGGGAGATAGCTCAGTGGTCTAAACACCTTCCTGAGCAAGCACAAGGATCTGGGTTTGATCCCTGGTCATATACATCCCTGGTCATGTGCATGCTGTGCTGGCCCCAGAACCCCTAGGAGTGCTGTGCAGGACCCCAAAACTGGGTGTGGTGGTGCACCCCTGTAATCTCCGTGCTGGGGAGGCTGAGACAGGAGGGTCACTATGAGTCTGAGCTGTGTAGTGAGACCCATTGGTCAGCTCCAAGGCAGGGTGGCACATGGCAGAAAGGCAACTGTTTATGGTAGCAGAGGGCTGCAAAAGCAACTAATAATTCATATATATATATATATATATATATATATATGTTATTCACACAACATAATGTAGTAAAGAGAGAGACAGAGACAGAGACACAGTTAGAGTCATAGACAGATCTTTCTGTCCCTTTCCTGCCCTAGATGGATATAGTAACCACACCCTTAATCCTCATATTGGACCATGAATCAATCACAAACTCTAGATTCAGCTGCCTCTGTAAACCTTGACTGCATGAGACCTAAGGGGTCGTCCAGATACAAACTGTAACATTCTGCCCCTGACCCCCAGGAAAGACTCATGTATGTTCCTTTACATGAAAAGCACTTAATCCATCTCTAAGAGCTGCCAGAGTCCTACCAGTTTCAGCATGGCTGGAAAGTCCAAGTCGCAAGTCTCCTATGAGATTTAAGGTGAACTCTCAGCTGTGAGCTCCTGTACAAATGAAAAGAATGTTAAACGATTCCAACATTCATTACTGCAAGATAAACATTTCTATTTCAAAAATTATAAATGGAGATACAAAAGATAGGGCCAAAGCAAGTCTAAAATCCAGCGGGACAAGCATTAAGCCCGGTAGTTCCGCATGCAGCATCTGAGGCAATGTGTGACAAAATGTAAACTCAAAGGACAATGGTAGCTGCACACCCATGGCACTTCTGGTCAGTGGGGCTCCCGTGGCTTCTCTCGGGCTGGCTCTGCTCGCTCCTTGCAGTTTTCCTCAGATGACCCATGTCCCTCGCTTTTCCAGACTTCTAGCATCGCCACTGGCCATTGGCTCCACCCTCCAGCTACACACTGCCCTCTCTGGGCACACTCTCTGGCCTCCCAGAGCTTCTTTTGCAATCTGGGTGGAAGCCTTACTGACCCCACAACTCTTCCATCGTGCATGCACCTAAAGCCAGCAGCACGTGGACGATGCCAAGGTCTACTGCCAGTTTGAGCAGTATCCGGGCCTCTCTTCCTTTTGCCCATAGGGGTCAAGTGCCTGGATGCTGAGCCTCCAAATCCAATTCTGAGAAACAGATTTTTCTATGCTGCCACCGTTTTGGAATATAGTGCAACTATAGCCCAGAAACATGGTGCTCTGGGGTTTTGTTCTCAAAAAAAAAGTCTTTCCCTTTTGTAGTTTCGAGGCTGTAAAGGGTAGCGTCCTGCTGCTGCTTGTGATACTCTCGGGCCATCTTTTCTATTCTCCTGTTCTTTCGTAGCAGTCAAGATCTCTAGTTTATCTTTGCAGTTGACAGTTTTACTGGAGCTTCCTTTCTAGCCAAACTCTTAACATTTTAAATTATTCTACCAGGCTCTTTGCTTTAGATTCTCAGCATAAATCTGGCTAAGAGCCCCAAACAGTAGCCATGCCACTGCCTCAATATTAGATGCTTTGAAATTTCTTTGGCCAGATTAATTAGTCTGCTGTCTTAATATATCAGTGTGAAGCAAGGTCTCTGGACATAAGCAAAATACAAACGAATTTTCTGCCCGGCCTTATTCCAATTTTCTTGGGTTTTATTGGCCATTGCGTTTTTTCTTGTTTTTTCCCGGCAGGTTTTTGTTCGTTTTTTTGTTTTTTTGGGTTTTGCCGGATTTTCTGTTCCGGACCCCCTGAGGTGTTCCAGCTCTACTTTTTCAGCTGGCAGCATGGAACCTTTCTGATCTCTTTCCACAGACCATTCCTAAAGGCTCTTGAACCACATGGTCAGATATAGTCATAACAATGACTCTACTTCTCTGGTAGCAAATCCTGTCTTACTTTTCTCTCATTGCTGAAAGAAAATTCCAGCACCCAAAGTTAAAGGAGGAAAGGTTTATTTAGCTCACAGGTTGCATAGGTTTCAGTCCATAATCAGTTGGCTCCAAGGCAGGGTGGCACATGGCAGAGCAGCAACTGTTCATGGTGGCAGAAGACAGCAAAAGCAATGAGAAAGAGTGGGGAGGGTGAATGGAGGGAGGGAGGGAGGGAGAGAGAGAGAGAGAGAGAGAGAGAGAGAGAGAGAGAGAGAGAGAGCTCTTTGTGTCTCTTATGTTGTGTGCAGGCTACTCACCCTAGGGCAAGTGTAGCACTCATACCCTTAATCTCAACACTGTATTAATCACAAACTAGATTCAGTTGCCTCTGAAAAGCTCTCCCATGATCACATGAGGGACATCCAGACACAAACCATAACAGATGGACTCTGGAAAACAAATGGTCTGAGAAGTAAAGAGGTTGAAAAAGCTCTAAAGCAGCAGTAGACAAACCCCAGCCTGGCCAGCTGTCTGTTTTTGTAAATAAAGTTTTATCAAAACATATAAACCACTCCTTAGAGTTATCTGTGGCTGCCTGCATGCCACCAGGACAGAATGGAGGAGTTTCAACACACTGTGTAGCTGAAATATTTCTTATCTGTACCTCTAAAATAGACTTGCTGACCTCTCTTTAAAGCTAAGTGTTTCCCGAGAGGGGCATTTTTGGCAGCCACAGCACCTGTCCCTAAGAGGGCAAGAATGACCCCAAACATGGGGTTTGCTCTGCCAGCATGTTATCTGGCCTCAGGTCTGCCTTGCTGTCTTCAGCAACGAAGCAGGCCTAGTTTGTGCTTTATGTGTTACACTGCGTGATCCTCCTCGCAACCTTGGGAGGTGAGGACTGGCATCTTCATTTTGTGAGAGAGGAGTCAGAGCCGAGGAGAGGTGAGGTCCAAGGTCGTATAGGGAGTAAGCAGAGTATTGGAGCGGGTTTCAAATCCTTCCAGCCTTGGTCAGAGTCCCTGTTGTGACCTGTGGGTACACTGCCACCTTCTGAAAGTAAAACTGTCCCTCCCTTTTATCTGAAGGGACATCATGTGGCCATATGGTAAGAAAACTGGGTTAGGAATTAGATGAGAGCCCCTGGTCATCCTAGTTCCATCTATTTGGTGCTGAGTTGAAGAGATAATTCCCAGCCTTTCATTAATATGTGCCAGACACTGGTGTCCAGGCATCAGTTCTGCCCAGGAGAGGAGAAAGACACACTCCAACGGAGCTTTCATTCAATGTGTAAGGTACAGTGTGGTGTGAAAGAAAAGGCACCAAGTGTGGTGGGATGACTTGGGGTTGAGCCTTGGTGGTGGGCATCTAAGCCCTCAAGAGGGCTTCTGCACAGACAGATCTGACCCTGTGCTGGTCACTCACCATAATCTTGGGCTGGTTGTTGCGTCCTGTAAGACTGTGATGGTGCAGAGGGGAAAGCATCACCTGCTGTCCAACATACAGTAGGTATTCAATACGTGCTAGCTGCCAGAGTGGTTCTTTCCAAACTTGTTCCTCTAACAGTGATCCTCAAACTTGAGTGTGCATCAGGCCGTGTGGAGGCCTCATTAAAACACAATCTCTCTCCCTAGAGCCGGGAAGATAGCTCAGTGGAGTAAGGGCCACCCAGAGTGCCTGATCCAGGGCTCTGCTGGAGGGACCTGAGAGTCATCTTCTTGACTTCCCTAAGCGGTCCAGCAACCCTCTTTAAGAACCTCAAGTCTACAGTGGAACTTGCTTTTTTTTAACAGTGGAACCCTCTTTTGATTTCATTTTTTTTTAACATTCTTTTTTTTTTTTGGTGGAACCGGGGATTGAACTCAGGCCTTTGCGCTTGTCAAGCAAGCGCTATTCTACTGAGCTATCTCCCCGGGCCCTTGATTTCTTTTTTTCTTTTTTCTTTTTCTTTTTTTTTTTTTTTTTTCTTTTTTCTTTTTCTTTTTTTTTTTTTTTTTAATTTTTTATTTGTGTGTGTGTGTGTGTGTGTGTGTGTGTGTGTGTGTGTGGCCAGCTCAGCCCACCAGGGGGCGGGGCTGGCTGGCATGTGGTGCTGGGGGATTGAACCGCGGTCCCTGTGCTTTGCTAAGCTTGTTCTAAGAAGGTGTTTTAGACCACTGAGCCATCTCACCAGCCCCCTTTGATTTCTTTTTATCTCTGCTTATTATTGCTGTTTACGATCATAAAAATAAAATGTGCAAATAATAAAAATCCAAGTAATATTTTTAAAAAATGAGCACTGCAAATAAGTTTCCCTCTTCTAAACACTCCAGAAAATTTCTGGACGTATTAATATGTACATACCATACATACACATACTGGTCCTTTTATTCACAAGTAATATCTCAGCACAAATAAGAATTTTTTTTTTTTTTTGCTCCGAATGCCTTCAGGGCAGGTTTGGCTGGCTTGAGTTGTGGGGATCGAACCACAGCAACCTGAGCCTGACTGCTTTGCTGAAGCAGCCACTTAAAGAACTGAGCTAAGGGGCAGGCCCCCCAAATAAGAATTTTTAAATAGCCATGTAGTTTCCATTACAAACATTACCTTTGGAGTTTCCTGTTGAAATTGTTTAGGTTGTCTTTAGCTTTTTAGACTGTATAAACCTTACCTCAGTGAATACCTTCGTTGTGTGTGATGTTGTTTCACATAGTTCAGTCCATGTGTACTCTAAATTAACAGAATTACAGGATCTAAGGAAATATGTAGTTGCGATTTTGACAATATCAAAACCTTCTCTCTGATGTCCTGCCAAGCTTACATTTCCACAGGGGCTGTACAAAGGGTCTAAACACTATTTCCAATAAAATGTTACATGGAAGCTTAGTCTACAACTCAGATAAAACTGGAACTGTTCCCAGTCTCTCTGCTAAGCCTCTTGTTTCTACCTGATGAGATTCTGGAAGCATCTCTTGGGATTCTGAACCTCTGAAGAATTAGTTTGAAAGCTACAGATATGCTGTCTACAAAAGATAGGGAGGAAAGTGTGGAGATGACATTGCGCAGGGGCCTGGGGGCAGACCGCAAGGGCCTGTCCCCGGACTCCACTCCTATGGCCTTCAGCCAGTTAGCTCCAGAAGTTGTCAAGAGTTCTTGGTAAGAATTAACGTTGTGGCCCCAATAAAATGCACTGTCTGGCTGAGAGCAGTACTTGAAACACATCTGTAGTGCTTGTTGTTTAATTTGATGGTTAATTATTTGAAGTAACATAATATGATGAAAATAGAGTAGCTGAGAAACAGAATTCATTCTACCAGGGAACCAAGTAGCCCCACAACTGAGTCCCTTTGAAGTTCCCAGGGAAGCTGGCAGCCGGGTGGGACTGGAGAGTCTTCCCAACGATTGATTTGCCTACAGGAGCCAAGGGAGTTGGCGGATGGTAGCTGCTGGTGGGATGAGAACAGGGCAAAGGATGCCCGGTGCACAGCCTTCCCATGAAGGCACTTCTTCTGGCATGAAGCCTCCAGCAAATGCCCCGTGTATAGACGGATGCTGCTAAAGGAAGCAGAGGCTGTTGTGTGAAGTTCTCCATGTGGCTCTCAGTTTCTGAAGCTTTAAAACTTTCTCCTACTGTGGAAGAAAAGCCTTCCTCTTACCCTGATAATACAGTAGTAGTCCTGAACATTGCCCCAGAGGTCTTCCCAGCCCGATGAGGAAGATACTGGGAAGGAGGACAAACACAGTACACAAACTGCTGAGGAGGCACAAACCTGTTGTGTCAGTCTCTGTTTGCCCTACAGAATATATTTCACCCAGAATTTATTTCTTCACTCATTCCAACAATACTACTGAGTCCATGCCATAACAGAATTGAGTTCCTGTGAGTTCCCAGGTCTTATATTTGGCTGTAGATCACATGGCAGGAAGGTCAGGACCTTCCCTCCTTCAGGCAGGAAACAGTTCAGCGCACTGATTGTGGCCGTGTTGTAGAGCACAGGATTAGGCATGGTGAGGACCCGTACCTGGGCAGACCCGGTTTAGCTCGGGTGGTCAGGGAGGCCTCTGTTAGAGGTGATTATCGTGCTGAAGCATGAAGGGAGGCTGAGCTGGCCCACCCTGGCCCAGTGTTGAGGGGAGAAGGTTCCAGGCAGAGGAACAACATTCCTGAGGCAGGCAAGAGTTTCACAGGATGAGGAACTGAAGCAAAATAGGTACTATGGAAGTTAGTAGGGCACATGGCAGTCTCTCAGCTCTCTTGTTTTGATTAACACTGGGAAAGCCTCCCCAGAGTTTCCTCAAGTCCTTGTACAACATGTTCAAAAATGACCAGATAAATGGTGACTCATCTTGCAGGCAGAGCCTCAGGGTCCAGAGTCCTCATATAAGTTGAGACCAGCCTGATCAATCTGCTGGACCCATGATACTGGAAAGCCAAGAGCACACTCTGCAGCTTGAAAAGATGAATGAAAACCTAAATTCCCAGAGCCAGGGACATGGTGATGCACAGCTGAAATCCTTAGCACTCAGGCTGGGGCAGGAGGGTCATTGTGAGTTCGAGGTCAGCCTGGCCTAAAAGTGAGTTCAAGGCCAGCCTGAACTGCATAGTGAGATCCTGTCTCAAAACGGAAACAAAGAAAAAAGAAGACCTAAATTCCCAGTAAATTACTGGATTGGATGTTCCATAGGAAAAAAGCCAAGATGAATTCATTGCTGTGTCTTAAATGGGCATTTAATAAACCTTTGCTGACTGAGTGGTTATAGGAAGAAGAAGCAGATCTTTGAGAAACTCCTTGAAGAAAGAGAAAACTTGAGGACCGTGGGTCCCTCGTGGGCAATGGGTTTAGATTTACAGTCTATGTTGCTGGTGGGGAGCAGAGAGGAAGCAGAGATTTCTAAAGAAGCAGTAGATCCTGGAGACTAAAGGTACAATCTGGAGCCAGATTTTGTGGGTTCAATCTGACTCAAAGGGGCTTTGGGCCTTAAATCCTTAAATCTGGGCCAGTGAGATAGCTCAGCAGACTAAGTGCCTGCTTAGGCAAGTGCAGGGACCAGGGTTCAATCCCCAGTTCCACATGTCATGCTGGCTCTGCCTCTGGGTGTGCTGAGCCTGCTACTGAGCCAGATGTGGTGGCATATGCCTATAATCCCAGTGCTGGGTAAGATGAAAACAGAAGGATCACTATGAGTCTGAGCTGTGTAGTGAGACCCTATACCACATACATTAAAAAAAAATCCTTAAGTTCTCTTCATCTGCAAAGTGGGCCTGAGGAGTATACATAGCCACAGCATGCTCATAAAATCAGAGAAGATAGTGTCGGTTTGATACACCTGGAACCGTTCTCAGCATAAAGTCTTCAGGAATGGCTTCCGGTAGCTATTTTGAGGAGGCTATGTACTAAAACAAAAAGAAGATGCTGGAACTATTGGTAGGACAGCTTACACTGCTGCCCTAACACAAGGAGCAATTGCAAGGCTCTTAGTTACTTGCTTGTTGCTGAAACCCAGTACCCAACAGAACTCTCACAGCTCTAGGGAGTAAGATTTATGTTGGCTCACATTTAGAGGTTTTAGTGCATAGTGAGCTGGCTCCAGGGCAAAGCATGGAGAGGGGAAGTGCTTGTGGCCTGGCAGGCAGGGAGCAGAGAGAGCGGAGGGGAGGAGGGAACCGCTCCCTTCCAGGCAGTGCCCCAGGGACAAGGGTTCACCTCAATATCGGGTTTAGCTATAAACTTAGCAGTGCAGAATCCACTGATGGTATCATACCCCCATGACCCAGTCACCTCCCCAGAGCCCCATGTTTGGGAACACAAGGCCTGGGGGGGCATCCGGATGTAAACCATAGCACTAAGCGTCCTTGGGCTTTGGAGGTTGTGCCTTCTTCCCTTTAGTTCTAACAGGATGAGTAACAGACTCCTAGAGTAACACTGAAGTGATAGAGCTTGGCATTCACTTACTCGGCAGCACCAAAGTTCCTGGTAAACAGGAAGGACAGGTGGGGTTTGTCCCAGTTGCTTTGGGGTTCTGAACAGGCGATGCAGGGGATGATGCAAGGGAAGCCCTTCACCTGAGGCCACAGCTGTACCGATAAGAGAATGTCACTGTGTGCTCCCGACTTACATCGTCCGCTTTTCTCAGTCACTGCTTTCTCTCTGTTTCTAGGCAACAGCGTGGGAATGGCCCATTTGGAGAGAGAGCAGCCCTACCGTGGTGAGGCAGAAGACGTTTACCACACGGTGGAAGACGATGAGACCTTTTGCGTGGACTTGGCCAGCAGGCCCCCGGTGCCTGTGCCCAGGCCAGAGGCCAGTGCTTCTGGCGCTCATCAGCTGCCTGACAACGAACCATACATTTCTAAAGGCAAGTGTGCCAGGGAATACGGTCTAGAGGGTTCTTCAGATTTTCTCAGCATTAGTTCCTTAGAGCTGACCCATGATCCAAAGACTCCTTTCCTGAATATTTTCCAGCCTTCCCCAGGAGCTAGTCATAGCTCAGGAAAATTCTGGAATGAGGCCGGGGCAATGAGCAGACTCCCTTCCGGGCAGCATTCACACACAGAAGGACGAGCCAACATGAACCGCAGTACACTTTTGTGTCCTGAAACCCTTCTTGCTACTATTATTAGTAATCTTAATAGCTGACATTTGTTGAAATGTACCAAGAGTACTCTATCTGGAATATACCATTTAATCTTTACAATAACTTTCTAAATCACAGGCATCACTCACAGTTTACAAATAGGGAGGTGGAGGTTTAAAAAAGGTACTCAGTCACTGTGCAGTGCGGCCAGGCTTGCAAGCCAGGAATTCTGCCGCCACAGCCCTGGCGTTTAGCTGCTCTGCTTGGCTGCTTGCTGACCCACATTAATAAAAACTGGTGGTAATTGGGTTTTGATTTCTTCATAATTATTCCTGGGAAACCAGTCAGGTGGCAGTGTCGGTTAGATGGTTTGTAAGAGAAGAAGGATTCACCGTTGTGTGCTCTGGGCCCATGTTCCTTTTTTTTTTTTAAACATTAAGCCTCTGTCAAAAATGTATTTCTTATTTTAGGGTACAGGATTGAAGGACAAGATGATACTTACAAGTAAAGAAAATTTACAAGAAAAAACGACAAAAGTTTTTCAATTAAAGTACTATAACATTCAAACTTGACTTAAAACATAAAAGAAATAAGATTGCAAACAAAAATGTTTATGGATTTTTCAAACATAAATAAATGAAGTAGTGTTTAGGCAGTAGGGCTCATGCTGATGGCTAGCAGGAAGTAACAGAGTGTAATCTACTTGGAAAAATCTTTAATGTACAAATACCAAGTCCAAATGATGGACACAGCAACTTAATCATCTCTGTCATCCTTCTTACTTCCAAAGTAAGGCCTTGATTAAACCATTCAAGCCCTATTTTTTACTCATACCTTTACTTTCAGATACTGCGGAACTATATACAACAAATGAATTTATTTTCACCAGGGAGATAACACACTGTACCTTTCTGCCAATGTCACTTGAAAACCTTCCTTGTCAAAACAATTTGACAGCAGATATCAACAAATAAATACGCAATGATTTTTTCATTACAGTCCTTTAAAGACGCATGTTAATTTATGCTGTTAACCTTAGGATCACAGTGCATAGAATCCAAATATAAACAATTGGGGTGACTTTCAAAGTAATGTTGGATCCCTCACTTTAATTATATAATCCCACTATAACCAGTTAATTCATTTCATAGGCCCTGTCATGCATTAATCAATGAGTGGCAGGAGTTAATGAAAACTTTTCCTGTTGTAACGCCCACCGCCAGCAATGGACGAACCAAAACCACCAAGTAAATCATTGTTATTGCACAATACACGAGGACCTGGAACTTTCCAAAAGCTTTAAAAAATTAAAAAATAGAATTATTTTGACATTTCCTGACACCTGCATTAATACTGTATGACTAATAAAAGCATGTCAGCTGCGTGGACTGAATCAGCGATCAACATGCGCCAGAATGCACACAAGTAAAAATGCAGTAAAAGGAAGTAGTCTTCATTGCCTGTAGGTCACTTCCAGTCAAAGGTTAAAGTTCAAAGACTGAACGATCAAAGTGCTCACTTTCTCGGTAGGACTGTCTTCTGCGAGGAGGGTGAGAACAGCGGCGTCAGCAAGTGTCATCATACCACCATGTTGTTCTCTTTGGATTCTTGTTACATGTTCGCACATAGAAAGAATTATCTGGTGGTCGTCTCTGAGGGGAATCAAAAGGATATCGACTACTAAACTTAAATAGAAGTTGAAATTTTTCTCCTTCATATAAGGTACCTGGTGCACCTTCCATGTCTACAATCCACTGTGTGATTGAATTTTGAACACTCTTTTCATTTAAAGTCATCCCAGGAGGTGGATCATTTTGCGAAGCCAACAGTTCTTTTTGTAGTCGTTTCCGCATTGACGCCATGATGGAACCCCCGTGTTCCATTTTTAATATGAGCGTCTTGTGGAAGTTGTGATGAAGGGAGGTTGTACGGCGGGGCAGGTACTGCTCATCTCGATCCCCTGGTAACTAGGCTGCAGTTGCCAGACGAAATACAGGGGTTTAGTTAACTTCAAACTGTAGCCATTTTACTGTGTGTTCTGAACACGTCATTGCTTTGGCTTTGGCTTGTTCTCCCTGGCCACCCTAAATGGGGTCATAACATAGTTATAGGGTTTTCTCTATTCCCAGATGCCATCAGTGGTCAGGTTGGCTGTCCCCCTGGGTAGCATTTTCTTGAATATGTCTAAGAGACACTGTTGATGTGCTTCCTTTGTCCCCTGACTCTTTACATTTTTGTGCCAGCTGGCCAGATACAGCCTGTCCTCGTATGATCTCTTAGCCTGAGGGCTTTCTCTGGTCTGGGAACCTTCTTGCAGGAGAAGCTGGAGGCTCTGGAGAGGTGGCTCACATGCCCTCTGCCCTGACTAATGACTGATGAGAGTTGGTGGGTGAATATCCCAGTTCATTTGCCCCCTTGGTGGGGAAACTATGAATTAGATGTTCCATGTTGCTGCTTAGGAATTCCGAGCTTGTCCATGGGGGTCCTTTGCTTGAGAACCCACCAGGTATTGCTTCTTGCCTTGGCTGTCACCTCCCGACTACACTACTTACACTCAGATCATTAGCTTGGGGTCTGTTTCTGAGGGGACCACACTGCGAAGCTTGCAGATACATACTGGCAGTTCCTTCGTGGAGCAGTGTGGACGGCATGTGGTAGGGAGATAGATGGCTGCAATGTGGGCGCAGGTGATTCCTAAGCAGCCCTTATGGACCTGCTGGGAAACAGTGAGCAAGTGAGGAAAGGGTGGTGTCTAGGAGGCCAGACACCTGGGTTTGTCTCTCGGCTCTTAGATTATCTGGTATACAGCATAGGACACTGGATAAGTTGTTTTACTCTTTTTATCCTTAGTTTCCTTATCTATACAGTGATTAAGATATATATATATATATATATATATTTACATTAATATATATGCTAGAATAATACATGATAATACTCTGCCACTGCCTTATTTTGAGGGTCAGATACATAGTACATGGAAGATCAGGGAGATAGCTCAGTGGTCTAAGTGCCTGTGTGGCGAGTGCAAGGTCCTGGGTTCGATCCCCAGTACCACATGCTGTGCTGGCCCTGTACTGAGTCAGCCATGAAACCTGGCATGGTGGTTTGTGCCTGTAATCCCAGCACTATGGAGGCTGAGACAGGAGGATCACTATGAGTCTGTGCTGTGTAGCAAGACTCTGCACCAACTAAATAAATAAAAGATTTTAAAAAATAGTACATGGAGGAAGTACTTTTAATTTGTGAGTCACTGTATATACATCACTTGGGTTAACTAGCATGCCAAGGTTCTACTGTCCTAGCAGCTTCAATCTTGAAGCTTAGATTAAAAACACTGATAGGGGCCGGGGAGATGGCTCAGTAGAATAAGCGCTTGCCTGGCAAGCTCAAGGGCCTGAGTTCAATCCCCGGTTCCGCAAAAATAGATAGATAGATAGATAGATAGATAGATAGATAGATAGATAGATAGATAAAAAAATTAAAACACCGATAATAGAATCTACCCTTACATGCACACACTGCCGGGCCTTATCCTAGGCACTTTCTAGGCATCATCTACTTAGTCCTCATGACGATCCACTGAAGATGCCCTTCTCTTCTCATTCTACTTAGATGAGGTAGCGGAAAGAAGCGGTGAAGCCTTTTGTGCAGGATCACATGACTCCTGGTGGCAGAGCCAGGGCTTGAATCCAGGGGGCAGGATCTCAATCAGAGCCCAGGGAGCCGTATGGACCTTGTTCTCTTACTGCCAAAAGTGTGTTTGGCACTTTCCTGTTTTCTCCATTGTCCTTTCTGTCCCTCATGAGTCACTTGAGTTTAGTCCCTTTGGAGCTCTGCACATCTTACTGCTTAGAGTCCTGTCATAGCATAGTTGGCCTAACTGCTAGGTGTTCCTTTGATTCTGCAGCTTCAAAGCCTCCCACGACCAGCCTCAGGTGTCCTGTGATCAGGGTATACTTCCTTGTTCTCATTATCCTTGTCTTTAATGATCTTTTTTTCTTTTTTACCCTTTTCTTTAATGATCTGACTCAGTTACTCTTCTCTTGTTGCTGGGACAAAATACCCAACACCCAAAATGAAGGAAGGAAAGGCTTATTTAGCTCATGGTTAGTAGAGGAGCCCGCGATGCCCTGCTTCACCTGCTCCTGCAGCGTGGTGAGCTGCCGCTGGCCTGGCGTCTTCATTCCGGCAAATGGGTCGTAGATACTTGACCGGGGCCTGACCCTCCACGGGCTGACCGGTGGCTCTGCAAAGACAGCAAACCTTGGGCTCAACAGGGTGGGCACATCACAAAGGAACAACTACAAGTGAGCCCAAGAAGGGGGAAACGTGACGTGGATTAGAGGAGAGCAAGCAGCTAAAAATTTCAAAGCCTGTTAATGTAGACGAAGCTCCAGCATTTAAGATCGATTCAAACCTGCCAAATCCTCCGGAGCACGGCTCAGGCCATACTGTGCTGGCTCCAGGGCAGGGAGCCCCCGTTCGTGGCAGCTGTGGAGAGCGGAGAGCAGGTGGGAGCAGCGGCAGCAGCAGCAAGGGCAGCGGAGAGCAAGGCTCTCTCCTCTGATCTGCCCCCCGGCGGGGCGGAGCGCTTACAGCCACGATCCCAGCAGTACTCAGACCCGTAGTCCCAGCTTTGGATCACGAATGGATCACAAACTCTAGAACCGCGATCCGATGACCGCATGAGGCTTTGGGGAGACATCTACACACAAACCGTAACATGATGTCACCGGTGCTGAGCATGTCCTTTGGCCGGCTTTGGCTCAGTTGGATCGCTTGTCCATCTGTGGCCTACAACAGAACTTTCTCCGGTGCTTCTCATTAGCTGTCTGTTTCAGGAGTTTTAATTTAGAGAATTGGATGGTGGGAGGGCGTAGGTATACATTCCTTTTTGTACGAGATTTTGATAAAAGCTCTTTGTAAAGATATGCACTGCTGTAGAGTGCTTAAGAAAGAAAAGACAAATGCAAACATTGTGTGTCATAAACATGAGCTAAGATGAATACTGTCAGTAAAAGTGAACCCAAGGAAACAGGATTTAGAGGAGGAGGAGGGAGGGAGGAAGAGGATTAAAACAGAAGCAAGCTATAGCATGAGGGTGTACTCACTCCGCAAAATGACTGTAGGCTGCATGTACTAATAAGAAAGTTTCAAGTTCTTTTTAAAAGGAAAAAAAAAAAACCAGATTTTCACGCAGAATATTGTTTCTCTCACAGTTTTTGCAGAAAAAAGTCAAGAGAAGCCTGGGAATTTTTATGTTTCCTCAGAACACTTCCGGAAAGGTATGCCAGCTTGTCATCAGCTTCCTTTTGTAGGAGTGAAAGTTTAGTGAGGTAGAGGTGTTCATCCCGCAGGGTCTTCTCAGGGTGATGGCGGCTCGGCATTGCAAGGGGATGGAGCTGCCTGAGGGTCCTGCAGTGAAGATAAAGGGAAGGAGAGGCCCTAAAATACTGTACAAGCTGATCCTACAAAGAACACTAACATCCCAGCAAGCGTCACTTAGCCTATAAAAGTACACTCTAAGCACTGAGATTAATGCCTGCAGTGGGCAGCCCAGCACCCAGTCTGTCTGTGATACTGCCCTCATGGGCTGTTTGCTGTGTATCCTGCCTCAATCGTGCTTTGAAGACACTTTCTTGCTATTGGGTAAAAACTTGGGCATTATGTTCTCTTAAAGAATTTTTATGGAAGTTTGAGGAGCTAAATGTTCTCCCTCCGCCCAGTGGTTTGCTTGTGCTAAATAGAAGTATTCAGTATTATCCCTTTGCGGATTCTTTTGGAAAGTAGCAGAGACACAACCTAAGCATTTCTGGGCATCCCAAAGGACCATGGCGCTGGGAGACTGAAATGGATTGGAGTATGCTTTTGTTCTCTCTCTTACCCATCTGTCAAAACCTTTACAAGGGCAAACCCAGTGAAAGGGCATGTGAGTGTGCGCACCCAGGTAAGTGACTGGGTAGATTCCCTTTAAGTTCTTCTCCCCAGGTTTCATTGGTGAAGCCATCTCTTTCCATTTCGTTGTGTCCCTGGCTCACAATGACTGTGCTGGTGAGATTTGGACTCAAGGAGCCCTAGATGTTTCAAGAAGTAGGTTGTCTTCGGTCCCAGTGGCCCTGTCATCTCTGCAAGGAGCTCCTTCCCTGCAGATCTAAGGCTATCAGTTGGACTTGGCTTCATGTTGCCCTAGACTCCTCAAGGCAGAGAGCTTTGCATTCATTATGTGGAGGAGAGGCCGGCTCAGAACAACCCATGGATGGCCAGCTAGAACCCAGCACGTCACTGGTGCTTGCTGCTCCTGGACCTGGGTCACAGTGTCCTTGGGGTTTGGTGTCCCAACTTTTCACATGTTACACTGTGGAGATAGGAAGGGAGTGGAGTGGGAGAAGCATCCTGGCTAGGCTCTTCTGAAAGTGGGTTGAAGTCTAAAGCCATAGCTCTTATGTGGGGGTGATTTTGCCCTCTCCAGGGGACACTTGACACCATCTGAGAACGCTTTTGGCTGGCATGACTGGGGAAAGGAGTGCTGCTGGCACCCAGCTGGTAGAGGCCATGGGTGCTGCTGAACAGCATACAAGAAGCAGCACAGCCCCGCAGCGAAGAACCCCCCAGCCCCAAATGTCACCAATCTCAAGGCTGAGAAATGTTGGTCTGAAGGCATGTTGATAAGGGCTGGAGGATTTGGCAGGTTTGACATCGATCTTAAATGCTGGAGCTTCGTCTACATTAACAGGCTTTGAAATTATTAGCTGCTCTGTCTCCTCTAATGCACGTCACGTTTCCCTCTTCTTGGGCTCGCTTGTAGTTGTTCCTTTGTGATGTGCCCGCCCTGTTGAGCCCAAGGTCTGCTGTCCTTGCAGAGCCCCCGGTCCGACCGTGGAGGGACAGGCCCCAGTCAAGTATCTACGACCCATTTGCCGGAATGAAGACGCCAGGCCAGCGGCAGCTCATCACGCTGCAGGAGCAGGTGAAGCTGGGCATCGTCAACGTGGATGAGGCTGTGCTGCACTTCAAGGAGTGGCAGCTCAACCAGAAGAAACGCTCTGAGTCCTTTCGCTTCCAGCAGGTAGCCAGCAGTGTCTGTCAGGGACCGTGTCGTGTTACCTTGCTACTAAACAGTGGGGCAGGTCGGCGGCAGCTGTCCAGCTCTGCTCCAAATGAGTGCCTGTGGCCACGCCTACAAACATTGCCGGTGTCCTGTGAGTGACTGTGTGCCTGTGCCCCCTGGCCTGGACATGTAGCTCCCTACGTTTCTAACTAAAGCACTGGGAAACACATCCCTAACCTAAGACCTACATTTACACAAGAAGAAATTGTGGCCAGGGGCTAAGGGACCTTGCAAGGCCACTCCCATGGTGAGTGGCTGAATCAGGAGGAGAACCTTTCTCATCTAAGTGGAGGGTGTATTTCAACCCTGCTCTCCCAGCACCTGACACCAGCTACCCGGACACGGGTGTGAGCAGCCATCAGCCCTGGAGGGAGTGTGGCATCTGGGGTGGCACACATGCCAAGAGCAGTGGGGGTGAGGCAGGAGCGCCAGTGGTCGAGGTCTGCCCGCACATGTTGGGCACTGTGCTGTGCATTCAGTAGACATTTACTGCCTGCCCTGTGGCTCCTCACGGCATGCATGTGCGCAGAGGAAGCACCATCACTCCCATGTCCCAGAAAACTGAAGCCCGGCAGAGGCAGTCAGGATCCAAAGCAGCTCCGGAGGGGCCAGACTCCCGTCATCACACCTTTGAGTCCTTAGTGTTCCTTGAGGTGGGGCGCCCTCCTTCCTGCTGGGATCCGAGGGGCGAGTGGGCACCCACCCTGGATGCTGAATCCGGGAACCAGGGTCCTCTTCACAGGTGCCCCCGGGCAACTGCAGGCCTGCTGAGGAAAGTCCAGCCAGGGCCAAACAGTGACCATTGTTTCTTTCTGCCAATATGTGCGACACTGTGACACAGTAGCTATAGGAAGCCAGGGCTCTGGTGGAGGCAGCAGGCCAGGTCTATATCCTTGTTCTGCCGCTTTCACCTAGATGACCTTGGCTTTGGTGTGCCTCGTTTCCCCACCTCTGAACAGTGGCTCCGAGACCCTTAGCATGCACAGGGCAGAGTAAGCGCATACGAAGAGTGAACTAGCAACCGCAGCGGGCTGCTTTCCCATGAGCTTGCCCAGAGTTCCTGCGGAGTGCAAGGCACCGCTGCAATCGTGTTCAGCACAGTTGGGCAGCCTCGACCGCTGAAGCCCGGCGCCTGCATTCTGGCAGCCTCCTGGGGGCTTCCTCAGCCTCTGCCACCCGCAGCCCGCCAGCCATCTTCCTTTTCCTCTGCCTTTCAGTCCACTCCTCGGTCTCCTTAAGTTCCCTCTCGCACAGCTGAGCGCTGCCCAGGGTCCCTTCAGCGCCTCCTCTGTGCAGGTGACACTCCAGTCTGTATCTGCAGCCCTGGGGCCCCCGCCCCGAGCTGGCCATGTCCTCCTGAATTGCAGAGATCTGCTGCCTGACCAACAAGCCACCCCTCGAGGCTGCCTCCTTTCCTGGCTCCCTCTTTGTTTGCTGCTCTACCACTTCCCAGAGTCTTCGAGCTTGACTTCAGGCCTCTGAAGCTCTTCTCGCTGTCCCAGCCAGTCGGCTACCCGTCCTGCTGCTCTCACTTGGGGGGCTTCTCTTCTCCCTGCCCTTATCTTCCCACATCCCAGCTACCTCCCACTTCCAGTCCTGTCCCCTGCAGCTAGCCTGCTGCCCTATCTCCTGGAGGGTCTTGTCTTCAACTACTCTTCCAGTTCACCAGAATCTTAAAGCCCTGACCAGCCCCAGCTGACAGCTTTCAGATTCCCTGCTGCTTCCTGAATATGGCTCCATGTCTCAGCCTGTAGGCAAAAAACCGAAAACAAAAAACAAAAAACAACAAAAAAAAAGACCTTTCCAGCTTGGCCTCTGGTGATTCCCTCCCTGAACCTTCTGCATCAGCCATCAGACTGATTGGATGTTTTCCCCGTGACATTGAAAGCTCAGATGCTTAGCTTCCCTAGAATGCTTAGACACTGGCATTGACTGATTAAAACTGAAAAAGTCTTGCCCTCAAATACCTATTCAACGCTCACTGAATGAGTACACTGGACCAGATGGCGGGACTGCAGAAAGGTTCCAGACTTAGTCTTTTGCCCTTGGAGAGCCCATCTACCCTAAAGAAGGCACACACACACACACACACACACACACACAGAGACATGATGTAATCCGTGCAGCAGATGGCTGATGTGGGCAGGGAGCTATTAGGGAGAAGGTGGACCTTGCTTGACCCAGGCCTGGAACAAACTCTTTGAGAGGAATCAACATCTCTTAAAGTCAGGGGAATGAAGAACACAGTCTCAGAGACAAAAATATATGCAGAGTGTTTGTGGGCAGGTCAGAGACCAGTTTTGCTCTCTGGGGTCCATACAGAAGGGCGCTGGGTTTTAGGGTGGAAAATGGAACCGGGAGCCAAAGGAGAGGGAAGAAACTGCACTGTGGAATAGCTGTCTTCTCTTTGGGCACAAACTCGGTGAGGGTGTGGGTTTGTGTGCGGGCTGACCGCGCAGAACCTCACTTGCATCTTGAAAATGTCAGCACGGTGTGATAGACTTTGCATACAGCATGCATTCACACAGTAACTCTAACGCTCGAAGCGTCTAACTCTGGTGGATGCTTCAACTTTCTTTCTTTTTTTTTATATAACAGGAGAATCTTAAACGGCTAAGAGACAGTATCACCCGAAGACAGAAAGAGAAGCAGAAGTCAGGAAAGCAGACAGGTACGTGCCGCCGCACGGTGGGAGCCTCGCTATCTCACGCGACTCTGTGGTCTGAGCGGACAGGTGCCTGGCTGTCTTTGGCACCGGGAAGGACATGTGTTTATTGGGCAGAGAAAAGACACAGCCCCCTTCGCATCATGTCTCCTTTGGGCTTGAGTGGTGAGTCTTAGGTCCTCAGATTCCACATCTCACGTGCTTCAGAAGCCCAGGACCTGGGTTAGTGGGGCTCCTGCCGTGCAGTAGCAGGGATGGCTCATTGCCGAGACATGATGACCTACAAGGCCCCACATGACGTGACCTCAGCTGTCCCCCCTCACGGCCCACCTTCACTCAGGGCCTTTGCACTTGGTAAACTGCTGCTTTCCCCCACATCTTCATCTGCTGGGTCTTTTTCTCCTTCAGAGATTTCTCTGCCCTCCTCTTCAGTGGCGCCCTCCACATCTCACTGCTCGTTTGCTTGCTTTTCCTCTTGTTCTGTATCCCAGGCCAGAAGTCCCTTGTTTCTGCTCTCAGGGATATGGCCCAGTCACTTGCCCTTCTCCTGTGGCGAGCTCCTGAAGGGCAAGAGCATGGCTGCTTTGTGGTCTGAGCCACCAGGACAGGACATTCACAGCGCTCAGAATGTCTTTGTTTTAGTGACTGATTCCCCCACTGATGCCTCCCACAAACACTGAGCACAAGTCCCTCAGTCGAGGAAAGGCCTCTGAGCCACTGTCTGTCACCTGATAGCACATGGACCAGTTGTCTTTCTGTTCACGGAGGATGGATTTTCCCTTCTAAGGTCCACCCCATGACACAATGTTGTGTAGAGAGCAGAATCCTCGTTAATGTTAATGGTTCTGACTGTTTCAGGGAAAAGGGGCTAAAGGTTATAACCTTGGCAGAAGGCCAGAGAGTTCCTCCTAAGACTAGATTTTAAATTTATGCCACCACTCCCCAAACTCAGGTATACCTTCCCTCCCAGTGGAGGAGAGGAGTGAAAGCAGAGGAGGCGGAAAGTCTGGTGCTCAGTCTGCAGAGTCATGGAGGGGGTGGGGTGGGGGTGGGGTGGGGGTGTCAGATAAAAGGTTTCCAGGCAGAAAATAATGAAGTCTTGATGAAATGAAGCACCCTGAGATCTGAAGTATAGCAGCGTGAAGCCTGTGATTTGGTGGCGGCCCCAATGCCCAAAGGCGTGGATGTCTGTCACAGGGCCTCAACAGGCTGCGCTCGAGAACTGAGGGTTCTGGCATCCTCGTGTCTTCCCACCCCCTGGACGCTGCGTGGTGCCCCTGGAGTTACTGAAGCAAGATGAATGCTCACGCGGAGACCCGGGGGGCTCGGGCCTGAGTCCTGGAGCTGGCGAGGCTGGGCCAGATTGCCGCTCGCTGTGAAGTGGGAGCCACGGGCAGGAGACTCAGCCCGTATCTGCCACGTGGCAAAGGAAAAGTGCCCACTGGGAGGGAGTCTGGGTGGAACCTGCCCGCCACGGTCCCTGGCACGTCAGAGCACCTGCAAGCTCACACAAGTGCAAGTACCCTCTCAGGCGGAGTCTTCCCGAGCGAGTGCACCAGGCTGGGACTTAGCACCTCAGGTCAAGGCCCGGGGTCATAAGTTTTGAAACGTTGTACTAAGTTCACTCAAGGCTAATTAGGATCCAAATAAATGATTCATACCCTCTAGTACCTATAATTTATATCAGAATGGTCAGTGCCTAAAATTTACCAAAACGACATGACTTTAGTCTCACTGCTGTTCACCAAGAAGGAGACCCTCTGACAAGGAATTTTTTGGGGAAAGGGTTTATTTTTATTTTTTATATCAGGGACTTTAATTAATACAATGACTATTAAAAGATTAAACTTACATAGCTGGATGCCATGTTAGTTTTCCATTGCTTAACAGATACCCCAGATGACCACCTTATAAAAACAAAAGGTTATTTTGGCTCACAGTTTTGGAGGTGTCAGGTCCAGATCATTTGACCCTAAGGAAACACATTATGGCTGAGCAAAATTCTCTGAAGTGAGAGATGTGAGACAGAGAGGAAGGGGGGTCTGACCTGCCCCTTCCAGTGACCTAAAGGCCTCCTACTATGTCTTACCGCCATCTCCCATAGTGCTAAGCTGGGACCAAGCCTTTAACACATGGGCCTTGGGGGACATCGCAGATCTGAACTGTATCAGACCCTGAGCAGTACTGACTGGTGTGGCCAGGTGTGATGGCACACCCCTGTCATCCCAGCACTTGGGAGGCTGAAGCAGGACAATCACTGCAAATTTGAAGCCAGCCTGGGACATATAGTGAATTCAAGGCCAGTCTCGACTACAATAGAGACACTGTCTCAAAAAAAAAAAAAAAACAACAAGGGGCTGGTGAGATGGCTCAGTGGTCTAAAGCACCTACTTAGAACAAGCTTAACAAAGCACAAGGACCACGGTTCAATCCCCCAGCACCACATGCCAGCCAGCCCCGCCCCCTGGTGGGCTGAGCTGGCCACACACATAAATAAATAAATAAATAAAAATTTAAAAAAATGTTAACTATGTTAAAAACAAAACAAAACAACAACAACAAAAAACAAAACAAAACAACAACAAAGAGATGGCGTTGGCAAGTAATCCACCAGGGGAGAAGAGAATGTTCTATCCAAGAGATCCCCCAAGTGCCTCCTTATTTTTGAGTTATGCCAGTGAGAGACAAACTTGCTCATTTATAGACCTTCCCCAATCATTCATTGGCTGAGGCCTGTTGTGGGGGTGGTACTTTTAATTTGGCCACCAGAGAAAGCTTTAGGCAATTGGAAGTTGGACCCTGTACTGCAGGGTGAGGCCCAGGGGAACCAGAATATCTGCCAAAGATAAGACATTCTTCTTCTTCTTTTTTTTTTTTTTTTTCTTAATCTTTTATTTATTTGGTACATAGTCTCACTCGCAGCTCAGATTCCTGGCTCGGATTTGTAGTGATCCTCCAGTCTCAGCCTCCCCAGCGCTGGGATTATAGGCGTGCACCACCATGCCTGGTTTCAGTGGCCAACACGTAACATGTAACACCTCTTCCGGGGTTACATGGCGGCGTGGCGTGCATTACCGGGGATTGAACCCAGGTCCTTGTGCTTGCCAGGCAGGTGCTTAAGACTGCTGAGCCATCTCCCTAGCCCAAGATAACCTTTATGGTTGCACAGATACAACTTACTGGTTAGCTCTGCAAACCAGGTTATGTATTACATACTAGCTTGTGCTGACATACCCTGTGGCTCCCTGTGGGGCCTCGAGCTGCTGTGTGCATTCTTGAGGGGGCAGAAAGGAAAGGGAGGGTGTGAGGTAGATTACGATACACAGGGCTGGACCAGCTTACCCTGCTGTGAACACTGCAGCTCCTTTTAAAAAATGTGCTTTCTGTGTTGAGCTTCTGTTATCACTAGAAGAAAGAATTGAGCTTCACTAAAATAAAAAAGCATATGAAAACCATGGGCACAGTACCACGTTAATCTACAGGAGCAGTAGGATTGTGGAGTGGCATTTCTTTTTAAAAAAATTTTTTTATTAAAATTTTTTTAAAAATGTACTTAGTGTAGGTTTCACTACACAGATCGGACTCATAGTGATCCTCCTGTTTTCAGCCTCGCAAAAGCTGAGATTACAGGCACGCACCACCATGCCCAGTCTCAAGTGCCTGGGGCCAGCACAGCACACCTGGGATCGAACCCGAGTCCCTGCGCTGGCCTAAGCAGGTGCTTTAGTCCGCTGAGCTATCTGGCAGGCCCTAGTAGCATTCTTTCTAAAGGACCTTCTCCAAGAATGTAACCCACTCCAAATACAAGAACTGACTCTTAATTTGGAAACTTTATTGTCTTAGAATAGAAAAATACTGGTTATTCTTCTTTAATTTGGGTTACAACCCGAAGGATAATTGAATGTGAGCCTCTGTTCCTAAGCACCTGCTCGGGTTTCCTAAGTCCCAGGGCGTAGCTCTGCTCTCCTTGAGCTGGTGCGGAGTACTGACGGCAAGGGAAACAGCGAGGGGCTGCTGTGACGTGTGGCTTGTTGAATGCCAGGGCCCCACAGGGAGACAATCAATATTTGAGTTCTGGGTGTGTCCTGTGGGCAGAGGAGCCAGCTGAGTGCTGGCCAACCTGGGTTCCGTCCCCTCTTTGTCACTGAATGGCTCTATGATTCAGCGCCATCCCTTCAACTGCTCAGTTTCCCCACTGGCGTTATCCCCGGCCTACCTACTTAAAGGAGAAGCCGCAGAGCTGGGGGGAAGCACGGTGGCAGCACCGGTGTGAATGCCTCGGGAACGTGCCATGCAGCGGATTCCTGATGCTGCACCTGTAGGCAAAGAAGGCCGGGACCCCGTCAACGGTTAGAGCAGTTCTACCTGAGCTTTTTGAACTTTTGCTCCCCAACTTTTTCCTGTGTGTTTTCATTTCCTTCCTCATAGAACTCGTGAGGGTAGAAAATTGCCCTGCCAAGTGTACTAATGCAAACAGGAACTTCCTTTTATTTTAAAAAGATAAGTCAAAGATGAGAAGGAGCTGGGAAGATAGCTCTGTGGTCTAAGCGCCTGTCTGGCAAATGCAAGGACCCGGATCCAATTCCTGGTACTGCATGCCATGCTGGCCCTACGTTGAGCCGGTCACTGAAACCCAGTATGGTGGTGCACACCTGTAATCCCAGCACTGGGGAGGCTGAGACAGGAGGATCACTACAAGTCTGAGCTTTGTAGCGAGACCCTGCACCAGATAAATAAATAAAAGATTAAAAAAAAATGAGAGGGAGACAAGAAGTATGACATCTGTGTAGGCCCCGAGACCCCATTGGTCACACCCACGCAACAGCATACCCACTAGGCTTTACCTGAGTTCTCTGCCCAGTTGTAACCAAGGGACTCCCAGGAGAGAGAAAGATGCTGGAGTACTGAAAGGGCCAGGAAGTTGCTCAGTACCAGAGTCCCTGGTACCCTGGATGCAGGGCACTCTGGTCTACGCCAAGGAATAATCCACTTTTAATATGCTTTATGCGGACTACGCACTGTTCCGATTCCTCATGTTGACCTTTCATGAAGTTCTAGTGTACTTATTTACACTAGAGTGTAATTAATACATTACACTCGCTGCCAGCTTCTGGCTTTACAAGCAGAGCCACCTCTGCCATAGCTTCTCCCAGCACCTGGGGATGGAGAGGTGGGAGCGAAAGGGGTAAGGCAAGGATGAGTGCGCATGCAGGTCCCTTCCACAGCAGGGGGAGCAAAGGGAGCCCTGAGGCAGGGGCTCTTACCTGAGGAGGAAGTTGCTGCCAGCAGCACCCGGATGTCATTCTGCTCAGCAGCAGGAGTTAGAGCCCGACGTGGAACTCCAGGGAACAATGAAGGCGAGACGCTGGGCAGGGCTAGGCCAGGAAGAGGTCAAGTTAGTTCTTTGCTAGGCAAAGGAGCACCCTTCTTTAAGTCAGCCTTGCAAGTCAAACAAGCTTTCTGGCACCTGGAGGATCTCCTGTCCTTCACTCTGTGAGCTCTGCTACGAGTGGCAACCACACACCCCATAGCCCCTTACCTGCTGAGCATGTGTGTTAGGGAGCAAGCGAGCAAGTGCCTGGACTCTCAGCAGCATGGGAAGTCCCACCCCCACCACTTCCTGCTGTGCGACAGAGATGCAGCTTGACTTTTCCGGTGGCGATGACCATAGCTTTGATTTCTTGAGTGAAAACTATGGAAGGTCTTAGAATGAGCCTGGTGCACAGGTGGCCTGGTAACGATGGCCGGTGATGCACACACGCCCTCCTGGACAAGAGGGGCAATCCAGAGGGGTGAACCAATTTCCCCAAGCTGCACAGCCACTGGAGGAGCTGGATCCCGGGCCCCTCTCCATGTCTCAGCCACTCCCTGTAAGTGGAGAAACTTGCAAGTGTTTCTCTGCTTTGTCTCATGCCCTGCCATCCCTTCCTTCAGCCTCCCAGCCTGGCCACTCCAGAGTCCAGGGTTTCAGCACTGATGTGGGCAGGGGAACAACCCAGGGCTCCGCCCTTGCGCTGTTGTTCCTCCAGGCTTGGGTTAGAGGAAAGCAGGTGGAAAGAGGGTGGCAGCAGTCAGGCAGATGACAGTCTGCTCTCTTGAAGCTTCTCCCTGTTCCGATTCCAGACCTGGAGATCACAGTGCCCATCCGGCACTCACAGCACCTGCCTGGGAAAGTGGAGTTTGGAGTCTATGAGAGCGGACCCAGGAAAAGCGTCTTCCCCTCAAGAACAGAGCTAAGGCGTGGGGACTGGAAAACAGACAGCACTTCGAGCACAGCAAGTGAGTAGGGCGGGGCCCTCAGTGCCCTCCAGACGTTCTCTAGCTGGTGGCCTGTGGCGTTTGAAAACATTATCGTGAGCTCACAGATCTCAAAGGGGACCTGACTTAGTTTTAAAAAATATAAAATATGGGGAACAATTAACCTGTAAAGTTTGCTTTTACCATGTGAAGCCAGGTTCGATAATTATTTTTACTCTATGCTCTTTATAAAGAAAATATCTGATAATACTAGTTAACGTTCATTGAGCATTGATAATCCTGAAGTTTCTTCATAGACTGTTGCATTCTGACAGAACCTCTTTTTTTCCAAGACAAAACTTTTCTAAGAGGCACTCTGACCCTATTTCCCAAGAAGGGAAGTTAGAGGCTTAGCGTCCTGACTAGGTTAATAGCAAATATGGTCAAGCTGGGTTCAAAGCCAGACCGTCTGGATCCAGAGCCAATGCCTTTAGCCCCATTTCTCGCTGCTTCCCCAGCTGGGTTTAGGGGAAGGTGAGAGCACAGAGTGAGAAGCACTAGAAAACAATGCACTCAGATTTGAGAATTCCAACTTTAGACAGCCAAGGATCTAATTAGGCTGTGTTTCCTGTGCGCTTGAATAGGAGTCTGATTGCACAGACAATGCCCAGTGATGACAGGCGAAGGCCTGGTGCGTTATTTCCACACCCTGTTAGCTGACTTCAGCCATGCTGGCTTCGTAAGCCCCAGAGAGGTTCTTTCTTCCATTCATTTTGGTGCTCTCAAAACAGCTGGAACAGTAATGAAAAAGCCAGTGAGAAGCTGAATTTCAAGATTCGTGTCTCCTTAAATGTGAGGTAGAAAATCCACAAATGAAACTCAACAGCTCATCCAGCCTTGGATGCTTAATCCCCTTGAGAGTCTAATACATGTTCTGGATCCGTCCCCTAGAAAAATGCTTGGGTAAATGCTTGGGTGCTTGGCTGTATACACATACAGGTATGTGCATACCCACGTGTGCACACACACACACACACACACACACACACCCCAATTCTGCCCACCTATGAACTTAAGAATCTCTATACTAGTTTCCTTCCTTACTCGATGGATGGATGGATTACTTGTAGCCCAGAGTGAAATGGTCTTTCTCCAAGGTCAGGTAGCCTCAGAGCACGAAGTTGGGACTAGAACCCAGCTGTTTTCTCTTTCAAGTTAATATTCCTGCCACCAGGACCTGCAGAAGCACACCCAAAGCCTATCACAAGACTGCGTGGGAAGTCTGCACTTGTCACAGAGAAAGCCTCCCTATATATAATGGTGGTGACGATGTGTATCTAGAGACCCCTCAGGCAATTCTGAAATTCAAATTCTGACACTTCAGAAAAGGGAGAGAGTTTTCTAGGGACCATAGGTGGGAAAGAAAGCCAGGGACAGACATGTGCGGAGGGGAGAAGAGCTGGAAATACACATATGCATGCACACATGCACGCTTGCTTCTCTCTCTCTCTCTCTCTCTCTCTCTCTCTCTCTCTCTCTCTCTCTCTCTCATAATGGGAATCAAACTCAGAACCTCATGCTCACCAGGCAGGCACTATACTGCTGGGCTGCATCTGGGTCCCAGCGAGGTGTTTTCATTGATAAAACAGCTACCTCTTGCTGGCCCTTTGCTTAGAGTACATATCACCGTGTACTCTAAGCTGCTCTGTGCACCGACACTTCAGTTTCTAGATAAGGACATGGAGAGCTGGAGAGTTCGCACCACTTGCCCGCCTCTTGGCCAGTAAGCAGCGGCTCTGGGATGCACACCCAGTTTTTTTGTCCTCTTACTGGAGAAGTACTGCCTTCCAAGAAGAAGGGCAAAGAATAAGGGTGGCTGGACTCTGACCCACCAGCTGGCCCTTTACCCCAGAGTCACATCCCCGAAACCGCATTATTTTTATTGTGCTACTGCAGTCATGACTTGAAAGTCGCAGAAAAATAATTTCAGATTACATCTGGTTATCACCAAAAACTTAAGATGTTAGCATTATGTTTAACAAAGCAAAGATTCCATTGCAGAAGGACTGTTTGATGACTTGTTCCTGGGTGTCTGGGCCAAGCTTCTTACATAGTATGTGGTTATTTTTTCCCTTATTCTTGCACAGAGCACAGCTCAAGCAAACTGAGTGAGACAGTGAAAAAGAATGAGTACCTGTCTTTAAGGGATTGTTACAGAGGAAAGCAGGTACAGAAATAGTGTGAGTGAGCCGCTCGTCTGCTCCTTCGCCCCAGCGGCTGAGCCTCACAAGGGCTGGCAGCACCCTCCATGCCCCTGGCAAGAGCACAGGCGATAGGGCTGGGGGCCCGGGGCCCTACCAGCTGTGCAGCCCAGGGGGACATGGCCAGAGTCACCAGCCTGGAGAGGGGCCAAGGCCAGAAGGTTTGGAGCAAGCATCAGAGTTAGAGACTTAATGTCAAGGGAAGGGGCAGTAGGCCCGATGGGTATGAATTTCCAGGTACAGAGCTAGTGCTTGTGACGATTTTTTACTTTCGGATAGCAGATGATCTTCAGAACAGTGTGGCTGTTTGTGACCAAGTGGGAGGGACCATGATCAATATCGCGGGGAGGCTCAGCCACAGAGAGGGCTGGGGACCCAAGTGCCCAGGGCCGGCTTTCAGTTAAGGCATTCTGGAGAGAGTTTGATGGCATTTCCCTGAGTAGATTTAGCCTATGGCTAGGACAAAGGAAGAGAAAAGGACGCTCTAGTCAGATGAACAGTGTTATGTGTGGATAACTGAATAGAGAGGGACCTTGTTTCTCATGCTCCTAATGAGCAAACACAATGCCTGGACGTAATCTGAAATTATAATACTAAATATTTGATTCAAGCTAACATCTAAATTTATTCCCTAAATTCATTCTGTCAAAGTTGATACCATAACAAAGCAAAAACGAGCACTATTTCCAAACAAGTAAGAGCTCTTTTAAGTGGACACTCCGTAACCCTAAGACTCAGTGACCTGCTAGTAGCAGTATTGGTGGGTCAAAGTCACAATTGCCTTGTTATAGTTGATGAGCTCTAATTCCTCCTTCTCTAACGTTGTATCACCATGGGTTCAGGCTGCTTCTTACGTTGTACTGAACAGTACAGTAGCCATTGGCTATATGTAGCTGTTTACATTTAAATTAATTAAAAGTACAATATAATTTAAAATTCATTTCTTTGGTTGCACTAGCCATGTTTCACATTTGCTACCACACTGGATAGCACAAAAAATGGACCACTGGCAGCACAGTGTCCACTGGACGGTGCTGTCTGATGACACCAGGGATCAGCGCTCAGCTCGGGAGCCGTGGGTGCCTGTGCTCACTGTCGCAGCTCCTATCGTGAACATAGACTTTTGCTTTAGTGGATTGCATTGTTTTTCTGTGTGTTTGTGTTGTGCTGGGGATGAAATTTAGGGCTGTATGAAAACAGCACAACACTCTACCTTTGAGCCACACCCCCAGCCTTGCGTTGTGTGTCATGGGTCTCACCCCCTATTTGAAAGTATGTCTGCATATATGTTACATGAACATGTTTCCTGTATTCTAAGTTAAAATAAAAACAACAGCAACAACAACAACAAAAAAACCCCATAGTAACAAAACTAGTTTACAGGGCCGGCCAGATAACTCAGCAGACTAAAGTTCTTGCTTAGGCAAAGTGCAGGGACCAGGATTGATCCCTGGCCCCAACCCCAGCCCCAATCCCTGCTTCACAAGCCTTGCCGGCCCTGTCCCCAGGGCATGCTGAGAAGGTGACTGAGACAGGGTGTGGTGGCGCACACCTATAATCCCAGTGCTTGGGAGGCTGAAAAGAGGAGAATCACTGTAAGTCTGATCTGTGTAGTGAGACCCTGTATACCCTGGACTAAATACATTAAAGAAAACAACAACAAAACTAGCTTACAGATTTTGGAGATGCTACTGAACTGAGAGTCAGAGCCCCTCTACTTCCTGTCAAATCAAAGCTCTAATAGCAAATAGGATTTTCAAAGGAAAAAAAGTGGCAGTCCTGCCTGTTTCTGAGAGCACTTACAGTGTGGGAAGCCCTCTGTAAATGGTAGCTGTCAAGCCGAAAGTGGTAATCGAAAGTGAACTATTTCATGGAATGCTGACAGAAGACCTGAACTCTCATAAAATATGACAGCCACGCTGGAAAAATCCTATTTTCACCGCTTGTGCGTATTTCTATCAGAAACATAAGTGCTAGAGCGCGGCATTTTGTTTTCTCCTGAGCAAATCCCCAATCTAGCTCGCTTTATTTCCACACTTCAGGCAGCACGAGTAATCGCTCAAGTACGCGGAGCCTCCTCAGCGTCAGCAGCGGGATGGAGGGTGACAATGAGGTGAGCAGCGGGGCCGTCGCCCATCCCTCCCTCCATCTTGTCCTGCGGGTCCTCTTCACTGCGCGAGAGAAACTCAGTGGCAGAGCCCACACAGAAAAAGGCACTTGCTGGATATTTCGGGAATCTACTTACGTAAAATACTTGGAGTGGAGAAATCCACAGAGACAGAACATGGACTGGTGTTTGGCAGGGCTGGAAGGAGAGGGGAGTGGGAAGAAATTAACTACTCGATACTCTTCTCCTTTTGGGGATATTAAAATGTTTCAAGACTAGAGTTGGTGGTTGTACAGCACTGAATTCACTCAGTACTACTCAACCATTTACTTTAAAATGGTTGATTATATGTTATGTGAATTTTGCCTCAAAGGAAGGAGATAGAAGGGAGGGGAAAATGCAGGGAGAAAGGAAAGAGGGAAATGAGCTCAGCTGCTGGCATCTAAGGGAAGAATCTGGGGAATCTCAGGGACTCCAGGGACAGGTATCATGCCAAGGCCTAGGTTAGGGGCCATAGGGGATTCCAGGGGGAGCCAAGGACATTGCTTCGCATGCTCCAGGGCCAGCGCTACTGTCTGTGATTCGGTGAGTACCAGCGTTCTTCCTGCCCTGCTCACTTGCCTCTTCTGTGTAGTGGTACAGGCTCTAAAGAGCCAGAAGGCCTTGGAGCTAAGAGGAAGCTGCTGCTTTGAGCAGGGGTCCTGCTCCAAGTGGGCTGAATTTGGGTCACAGTGCCCACCCTGATCCAGGGACCAGTGGCTGGAAGAGACAGGAAGGCCCACCTGAGTCAACCTGGAAGGCTCCTGAGAACAAGTTCCAAGGAGGCATTTGTGACAAGCTTCTAGATGATGCTGGCTTTGACAGCCATGGATCATGTTTTGAGTAGCATGGATTTAGAGTTCAAAAGATTTGTGCAGATGTGGGCCAGCCTGTCCTTCTCAACAACAGGAAGACATAGAAGACTGCCAGGGGGTCTGGGTTGATGCCAGTTTGTGAGCACTCTGCAGTTAGAACCTAAAGAAGGCTGAGGGGCTTTTGAGATATGGGTGTCCAGCTGTGCTGGCTGCTTCAAGTAATTGTCACCTTTTTTCTCTCACCTTGTTTGCTATAGGACAGTGAAGTCCCAGAAGTTCCCAGAAGTCGGAGTCCAGGCCCCCAGCAAATGGATGGAACGCACGCCGTGCCCTTGGAGAGGCCCCCCAGGGTGCCTCCGCGAGCCGCCTCACAGAGGTAACATGGACACCTATAATGCATTTTCTCTTCATACTCTGAATTCTAGAAAGAGTAGGATTTGGGGACAGCTGAGATAATCCAAGAGCGAGACACAGTGAACTGAAATTTCTAGTTTTGACGTATTTCAGTGTGGGTTTTCATTAATGCAGGCAAAGCCTTTCTTCAGTTGAATGGCAAGTATACTGTTTCATAAGTGAAATACGTCATCAATTCTTGTGCATTTTTATTTTTATAATTGAAAATTTATTTTATTTTATTTTTGCCATAATTTTATTGATAAACAAATAGCAATGAGACAGTTTCAAATCAAATCGGTAGGACAGTTTCAATAATTAACACACTGCGTACATTCTTCTTAGTGGTTAA